TTACGAAAGTAAAAGTAATGCCAGACCAAAGTCTTTTGGGTGGTGCTAAGGAAGAGGTCCTTGTGAAGAAAAGAGCTGATGCAAAGCTATGAGCAGCACAAAGTTTTTTAAGTGGTGGTGGGATTCCCAGCATCTTCATTATGGAGAAACAAACACTTACAGCCTTATGTAATGGGGTTTGCCTCAGTAGACACCCAAAGGGTGTTAGCACTGCTCTGTGTAGCTTCACACTGTCATGCTGACATGGAGGAACCAGCATGCTGACATGGAGGAACCAGCTTTAGACATGGAGAACCAATTCTAGAGACAGCCAAATATGGGGGGAGTGAGAGTCAGGAGGTAGTTTTGTAAGGCACAGACTGAACAGATTTACAAATAATTCTGATTGAATGCTGGAGATTTGAAGATAAAGAGTGTATTGCAAGTTCTGTGGTAAGAAGTGACCAAATCCATTTGGAAGTTGCTGTTTGGTGTGGTTTTTTCCTCTGCACTTGGATATGACCTTCAACAGCAAAATCAGTTGGCTGTAAACAATATACAAAGTTAATCTTCCAGTCTCCATATGAACACAAGTCTCTTGCTAGTATGGCTACACTTTCTTATGGACTCAAGACTACCTACTTTTTGTACCAGGCCATCAGAGAAAAAGCTGTGGAAAAGGTGAGGCAGAAACAGGAAGGACAGAATTTAAAAAAAGATAAATTAGAGGTAATCAGAGAACAGACAAACAGACAAAGAAAAGACGATGTTCTAAGGTTAGCACAGAATCAGCTGAGGTCAGATCTAAGCTGGGTAACTGTTATTCAGAAAATTAACAGGCTGGCTCTTTTTTCAAAATAACATGGTAGGTTTACACGTTTGTTGTTCACTATCCAGTAGCAAAGGGCACCTGGACCCCTTCCAGGTTTGAAGGGCGCGGTGCTTGTTATGGACTCCTGTTGTACATGCAGATGAGCACTGCAGATTAGTAGTACAGGAACAGAGGCCTCAAAGAGTGAGAATCACGTGTGAGCTCCTGGCATGTGGAAGGAAAGGCCTCCCCACTGGATACTGAAGGGCAGACACTTTATGTTCAACAAAGCTGAAGCTTGGGTGGCTCAAGACTGCAGATTTATTTTCCTCCCAGGAGTCTCTCTCACCACAAGGTTTGTGTGGGTTACTCCAGGGTGTCTCTTTGAGCTGGCAAGAAGCATTGCCATGATGGAGCAGTGCTGCACTGGCATGCAAGCAGCTCTGAGGAGCTGAGACTGCTTGTACCTCGATCCATAACCATGTTGAGAGGTTTGGGTGCAGGTGTGCTTACCCCTCATCCTATGATTGCGTCAGCTGGAAAATGTACTAAAACTTCCTCAAACTGCTTGTCTCTGAGTTGGACTGGTTGTGGTGTGGATTTCTTCTAGCCTGAGCAGCAAACAGTGAGTGGCACTAAGGGAAGAGGATAGCAAATGGTTGCCTCAGCAGATACTTGTTATATGAGCAGCACTAAAATTAGAACTAAAACCAAATGTTTGTTGAGGCAGCCTAGAAGTGTTGGTTTTATCTGCTGGATTTGTTTTCCTGTTGTTAGATGAGATTGCTCACCCGCAGAAACAGGTTGTTCAAATTCACGAGTAATGCTGTAATTTGATTTCTCAGGTTTTTGGATGATGGATCATGGAAGAATCCTTGTGTAATTGAACCCACTCATTCTGTTGGTTTTTTTTTTTTTTTTAATGCTAAACAGCATTGGTCAAAAGGATTACAGTAAAATGCAGGTTGCTAGCTGCTGACATGAACCTGACTGATTCCCTCCTTACATTTTACATAGTTATGGAGATATATTGGCATTCACCTGCACAGGTTAAGATAGTATGTAGTTTGGCTAGCTGACATCAGAGGAAAAACAACCCATAAAACTGATGATATGTTGACCGAAATTGGAAAGTAACCTTACTCTAAGTCTTTGCAGTAGCAAGAAGCAGCAGGCAGGTAAGCAAATCACAGAACACAGATCTTTTCTAGGGCAGCTCTTTCCTAAGCAGTAAATAGAAATCATATGAAAATGATTGTATGTGATCCTGAAATTAAAAGGAAGACAGGTGATATTTAAGGCTGCCCAGGTAACTGTAATTGGAACATTTCCTAATTTTTGTAGGGCAATGTGTTTGATATTGGTAAATTTAATAGTCTTATAGCCTTTCTAGACTTTTGTGCATAGACCTCTGTGAAATACTATACCTTTAGACTCACATTACAGAAGGTGTTTTAATTTAATCAGATGACAAACTTCCCACAGAAAGGGAAACTAAGGCAGTAGTTCCATTTGATAGGAGTGAATTTTTGTGGAAAGAATTGTGTTTTACAGCTTCCTTCAGTATCTCTTCTTCAAAATATGGGAGGCACAAGGATGTGGACAAGAGCAAACTGAAGAGGACAGTGAGATGAACTGTTTGGTTAGAGCAGCTCTTTCAGGTTGATACACACTGTGATGTACAAAGATGTACAAAGCATGATAATTAAACTTCCTTTTTCGAAATTAGCACTACTTTTACTGCCTAATGTTGTGTATTTTCCCATTGCAATACAAGGCAGAGGAACAGTATTGTCAGCTTTAGTACTCAACATCCTTTACAAAAGCATAATAAACAGATGCTGACCTGATATCAGGCTGCTCTGAACTGCCACTTGGTTCATCCACACCCTGAATATCACACAAAAAAACCAATCCTAGTATTTGGTTCATGAACACACTGATGACTTCAGTGCTGAAAATGGAGTTCCCCTATAGCTGTACTAATCCTAGCTACCCATGTTAGCAAATTAACAGTACCTGCAGACATGATGGGATCTCTTCTGAGGTCACACAAAGTAACGTTTGGATTGTGCAGGCTTTTGGAAAGTATGTCTCTGTGTACCCCAGGTATGTGTGCGTGCTTTGGTACTGCTTACTGTATTCTTTGGCTTCTTTCCAAAGACTTTGAATTCCACTTTAGTTGCATATTTCAAAGGACCAGTTCGAAATGTCTCCTTATCAGAGCTTTCCAGATGCTGCTGGCTCTGGCAGGAGAGTTTCAGAACAGGACCTGTTTTCTTAATCCTTGTGCTGGAGCGACAAATCACACGGTCTTTAGTTAGACTTTTCCTTTACTTAAGTAACTACCTACTTAAATCCAGGGTTATTTTAACGTTTTAAGTTAACCTGTTGTTTAAATAAGTAATGGGTGGTTTAGGTTTAAAAACACAGGAACAACTTTGAAAGGTTGCTATAGCTTACATTTCTGAACTTGCTTTGATCTAATCATATGAACTTTGTTTTTACCAGATGCCCAAAAAAGCAACTTTGCATTAACTTTGGCTAAAGATGAGATACTCATCAAAGTATCTCAGGGCTCAAAGTCTGAGTTCATTTGCTATGTTCCCCTAACAAGGGACCACTTACCATGCCAGCCTTCAGGTACTTCTGGAGTCATTAGAGGACTATGCTGGCATAGGATCTCTGCTCAGCCAAGATACTGGGTCTGATTTCCTGCAAGCCTTGTATTAAAACTGCAGGCACATTGCAACTTGATAACTGTGTCTGTTAATGAATATGTAATTAATACTGAGATGGATGGCTATGCATGTGCAGGGCAAGAGGAAATCCAGCCTGAGGCAGCCAGTGCGGTTGTCTTAGTCAATGAATAAATGCAGTTTGTGTTCCCCAGGTACTGTGGTTGCATGTTCTCCCACTCCCTCTGAGACTGCACGCTGTGGATGATGCTTATGGCTCAGGAGGGTCAGGGAACTTCGGATTTAATTCCCAGCTCTGTGCTGATAAGACCTATATGCCCAGTTTTGCAAAAGCACAAGCTCCTCAGCACCCTGATTGCCTTCACCTCCAGACCAGGTACTTCATATGGCAGAAAGGAGCCCTCTTCTGGAATAAGGCTGTAACACTCGACTTTTCTGCCTGTGGAAAGCTATGGGAAGAGGTGTAATGGGATGGTCTGTGGCTTAATGTCCTTGTCTGAGAAAAGAAACCACATTTTGAATCTCTTATTCTCTCTCCCTTTCCCAATCATCCTAACTTTTTGTTTTCTTCTCTGTTGAGCAATGGGCTACCGGGTTTCAGAGAACTATCTATTCTTATCATATATTTCTGAACAGTAATGATCAACCCAAGGCTTACCACTGTGTATGGATAGGTAGATTTTTTTTCTCTCATATGACTTACTTCACATTTGTTTACACTCTACTGCATTATTGCCTTGTTGCTGGGCACTGTTTAAAGTGAGAGATTCCTCTGCTGTCTGTAGAAAATGTAACTAGAAAAGCCAGACTGAAGATAGGAGGAATACATGAGGTTTTTTGAGGTTTGGAACATATAATTTCCACCAAATGACAAATGTCAGTGTGAAGATGGGAGATGCCAGGTATAAAATAAGGGCAGGATGGTTCTACCCCTGTAGCAAGCTACAAACTGTTTGTAGCTTTGAGACCTTCAAGATATGAAAGTAAAGACTTACGACCTGTAACCAGCAAGAATTTGCCTCTTAAATCTCAAACTATGAAGTGCCACTCTCTTGAGCCTAAGGCAAAAGAATGCCCTATTTATAATATTATTCTAAGATTCTAATTAATAATATTCTTTATTTGCCTTATTCCTTTCTGAGTTCAGTGGACTCTGCATAAACCCATCAAAGAATATACAAGAAATCTGGAAGAAGAAAGAAAAAAACATTCAGCTCAAAGATATTGTATTGCAATTGTGCAGTGATATTGTGTGACCACAATTCAGAAGTGAGGAAATACTTTCAAAGGAAAGATATTGGTGTCCTGCATTGTGCCTGGAAAGAAATGTCTAGTGCTATTAATTGTTTTAGAGGCTATATGGTAACTAACACAGTAGATTTAAATTTCTAGATTAGCTTGCAAAACAATTCTGCAGAACCTCACAGAACAATTCAGGTAAAAGCAAATGTGAAGAAATAGGTACAAAAACTTATCTGAGTTTTGTGTACAAGTGTGTTTCACCAAATACACTATTTTAGATTAGTTCTTTCCATTTCAACATCACATTTGTGTTTCACCATGATCTACAAACAGAAGCAACTTAACATTAACAACCAGTTTGGAAACCATATGTCATGAAAACACAAGCAAAGCAAATTAAGTGACTTTGATGAGCCTAGAGTGAAAAACAAAAGACGACTTTCAGAGCATGGCCTTTGGGTTTTTGGTCAGGTGAAAAAAACATATGTCAGACTCCATGAAAATTAAATCAAAACTGTGTCTGATTGGTGAATAATATACATTCACTGAAGACAGTAATTTGTAGCTGGCAGATGAAGTCCATTTTCTGTTGGACTTGTCAGAAAATCCTCATTAATTCAAGTAAGTCATCTGCCTCCTTCAAGGTCATTTGATTTCAGCCTGTGGAAAACAACTGCCAAAATCTGGTTGTATTAAATCTTCACCACAAATGAAAAAGTTCTATAGCGCTAAACTTCCAGAAACAATGTAATCACATTTCATTGGAAAATGTATAATTTGGAGGGAAAAGAACATACCTTAGACAGCGGTTTCCTCTGAGCACAGTTTATACCTCCAATAAAAACCATATTGGGCATCACTGGTCTGACGTACTCAAACACAAAGTCAAATCTCAGAAGCCAAATAGAAGCAGAGTTCAGGAGGTCTAGTAGGGATACCTCTCTCTGAAGAACTTCGGATGAGAATTTTATCGCATCTTCATAGAAACCATTACAGTACACAAGCTCCAGGAGGGCAACCAGTGCATTTTCCACTCTCTGTAAAAAAGTCATGTGGTCTGAGTTGAAGGTAAATAGTCTTGGGGTGTAGGACAGAGGGCTTGGGCACTGTGGTGCTTTATAGTGTAAGTTGCAAGGAAATCCTCTCATGAAGAACACAAATGGAAGAGAAAAATAATTAGCAAGTGTTGCTCCGCACATAAAAATGGGGTCTGTTAGGACAGCATCAAAGCCACTTTGGTTCAGGTACTGCAGGGTCTCCTTGCTGCTGAACAGGTTCTTGCACTGAACAAAGAACGTACGGAAAACGTGTACTGAGTTGTTGTATAGCACTAGAGCATTCAGAGGGAAAGGTAGGTCCTTCAGGTGAGTGGCAACGTATTCATGAAAAGCATTATCCAGCTCTTCTAACGTGTAAGACACGGGGTATGTTTTCACTGTGTATGCCTGCGTTGTCTTCATCTTCCAGCTTACTTCTGGTACAACCACCACCACCTCATGTCCTCTCTCGGTGAGCTTTTCAACCACTTGTTGCATGCTAAGCCAGTGGCTTTCATCCACAGGCACCACCAGGAGTTTCCCTCCATCTGAGAGGCCAGGAAGGAGGAAGATAAAAATCCAAGCACAGCAAAGCTGGAGAGTCATGTTCCTGTGGTCAGAATGCAGACTTCAGGCAGTAACGTGAAGATGCTTTTGAAGGAAGCTGATGGGTTTATTTGTTGAGTTGTGCTGCTTTGTCATAGTCTTCTAGTTAATGATTCACTGCTTTGTGTGTGGGTTGGTTTTTTGGTTTTTTTTTTTTCATTACTTGTAAAGCCAAATGCAGTGACCCTTTACTGTGCTGAGTCATTGGAGTTCCTCAGTTTTCAGTGGTGAACTAGCTCCTCAGCATGCTAGTCAGATTTCACAGGACTTCTCTCTTGATTGTTGACATGTCCTGTCTTACCCCTTGGCCAGGGCCAGGGAAGGCAAGTCTGGTGCAAACAACTCCAACACCACAGTAACAAATGAAAACAGCCTCAAAAAATTTCATTGTGGCTGGAGACATGGATGTTCAGATAATTTCTCTGAAGACAGAACAGGAGAACCTCAGGATAAGGGGAAAGGGCAGATGAACCAACTCTTCTGAGCCAG